AGCAAGGATGGCATTTGGGAAGGGGCAGAACAGATCCTTTTTTCCAGGCAAAGGAAAGGGAATCCTTTTTTTCCCCCTTCCCCATCCTTCCCTCTCTTTGAATGGCCATCAAATCATTCCTATATATCTTTTGAATCATTTCAACCGGTTAGACCTTTTCTTTCCAAAGCTAGGTTTGCTACACAGATTTGGTGGCCAGAATAAGAAGCTGCAAGATTTAAAAAAACTCATTACGTTTTAGCGTATAGCAGCCACATTCATCAGTACTAAACAATGGAAACATGTGGATAATATTTCAATGGATAGATTGAATGACAAGATCTGATCTATGGCTTTTCTTGAAAAAGTATCTGATCAAATTCATTGCATCCCAACCAAAGTAGTCAATTGTTGCTTTACAAAGAATGATGGGATTTCAGTATTTATATAAAAGGTAAGAATCCTGGACATGGGGCAGGATTGAGCATGGGCATGTTAAAATGGACCAGTACTTTGTAAATTTTTAAAATTCAAGTTATAAATAAATAAATAAATAAATACAAACTCTTCTATGGTGCACCATAAGGTTGCAGAACTAGGATTGTGGAGATCCAGCTTTGAGTCTACCCTTTGTCATGAAAACTCACTGCCTTTGGATCAGCCACTTCCCCCCCCACTCTCTCTCTCTCTTTCTCTCTCTTTCTCAACATATCTCACTGAGAAACTGGGGGAGTGGAAGAAGGAAACATTATGTATGCCCCTTCCAAGACCTGGAACAAAGTCAGGGGATATAAATCATCATCATCACCAATTATATTACACAACCAAATTAAGAGGAAAAATAAGCCCACAGTATCACAAGTGATTAAGGAAAATCCTAAAGTTTAACCTAAATAATGAAAATACAGTCAGAGCTACCAACTCATGACCAATACCAATAATTTGGTATACTGCAGGAACAGTTGATTGAATTCAGATGAACCTTGACCAGGAAACAGAAAATTGATGACTATCAATAATGCTTTACACCCTTGTGCTGATGTTGATAGATTAAATCATCCAAAGAAGACTGAGGGTGAGGACTTTTACAGGTAAAACAAACTGTAGAGGCAGAAAAACAAGGGTTTAATAATTACATCAAGGGAATTAAAGACACTATTGAAAGAATCTCACAAAGCTGGGCTGTTTACAGAAAAGGTATCTAAAAATGACTATAGAACAAAATAGCTTGCAATGTGATTATAAAAATGGAAAACAAGAGCAATTGTAGTAATTCCCACTCACCATACTGTACTAATGTTCCTAAAATAGGAAGGGAGGAGTGGGTACAGGTTGTGACAGTTACATAGGTGGAACAGAGGATTAGCACAACAAAAGTCAAAAAGGGCAATGAATAGCAGATAGCTAAATGCTCATATGAAGAAGCAAGAGAAAAAGAGTGTAATGGGAAGCAGAAATGACCTTGAGGGACAGGAAGAAGAGCTGCTACCAAGAACATGGTCAGATAAAAGAAACCTGAGTCTAGCGCAGAACAGTAATCTGAGAAAATGTATCAGACAAGGCTCCCCCTAGTTCCCACAAAGATAAAGGGGTGGGGGGTGGGCAGTGCATTCAGACTTCCAAGATTTTGTTACTATAACTTGATAATAAAAGTAGTATTGGCCTGCACGATTTTGGTTTCCTCATCTGGTCCACCTTGACGGGCTGACACAGAGACAGAGAAACCTCAAGCAGTCCCTCCTGTGAAACAATATGATCACATTTGTATATTAAAAGTCATGGATGCAGATCTTCAGAAGATATTAGTGTTAAAGAGCCCTTAATAGAACCTTCACAGGAAGTAATTTAATTCTTTTTTTAATCAAGTTTGTGTTCTGCATCAAGAATTTCTAATGCAGCTGTCTCCAGACCTCCAAAAACATTGGATTACAGATCCAATAATATCTCCAAATTTGTCCAAAATCCATATTAGTTGAGAATTATGAGTTCTGGTTCATCAGATCTGAAGGGCACCTGGTTGAAGAAAGCTGAACTAGTTTAGGGGACCCATGGAAGGGGATGGGAAAATGTTAAAGGATCTGGACCTCTTAAAATTGGTAATGGAGGGTCTACCCATTTCAAGATGATACAGATCACTATAGCAACTTGAAACAAGGAATTAAAAATCCATAGGGTTAATAAGGGCAAACAGTGGAAGTCTAGCTATCTTGTAAAGTAGGTTTGGTCATGCTAGTGGGCAGTTCTGGGGATTGAGGTCCATTGTTACTCAGGACATGCAGATTGGGAAATGCTATTCTAAGGGATCATCTAAAATTAGACTTCCTTCCAAAAAAATATTTAGTCATCTGTTTCCTAAGAAGCAGGTGGTCCAGATAGACTCTAACCCTGATACCCAACTGGGATTTAAAAACTTCTATCTCCAGGGCTCATGGTGTAATGGCATGTGAGAATGACCTTGGAAGACAGCAGGGAAGAGATGCTGCCTATGGAATTATTAGACAAAAGGGAGAGAAGCCCACAACTGAGTAATGGGCAGAGAAAGAAACTTAGAAAGGATCCGCCCTAACTTTCAGGTGGTAAAAGAAATGGCGGAAGATTTGTACTTTCAGATTTGCAAGATTCTGTTAATGTAGCCTTACAATAAAATAGAATTAGTTCATCTTGTCGTGTTTCTTGTCTGGTCTACCTGGGAGGCTGATATATGGACTTATTGCTGTGATATATTTGGAGTTACTTCAATGTTAAGTGGAAAATATTAGCTCTGATTGCCTCTGTTATTCTTCAACAGATCTAAGGATGGAAAATGGAAGTCATTCAGCAGTAACTGAATTTGTCCTCCAAGGATCATCACAGGTTTTGGGGTTACAGCTATTTCTTTGTGTTCTGCTGCTCCTTTTCTATATCATCATCCTCCCTGGGAATATCTGCATAATTGTGACAATTCAGAATAATCCCTCTCTGAAATCACCCATGTTTTTCTTCTTGGCCAATCTGGCCTTGCTGGATATCTTCTACAGTTGTGTCACCCCTCCAAAGCTCATTTTCAACATCTTCTCTGGCTGCAGGACAATTTCCTATTTAGGTTGTATCACTCAGATATTTTTCATTCATTTTCTAGGAGGAGCTGAGATGTTCCTCCTCATTGCCATGGCTATTGACCGGTACGTAGCCATCTGCCATCCATTGCACTATGCCACAGTGGTAAGCAGAGTCACTTGCTGGGCTATGGTAATAGCTTCATGGATTGGAGGATTCATACATTCCATCATCCAGGTCATTCTCATAATTCCACTTCCATTCTGTGGCCCCAATAAGTTGGATAACTTCTTTTGTGATATCACCCAGATCATCAGATTGGCTTGCACCAATACCTACATTCTTGAGTATGTCATGTTTGTCAGTAGTGGCCTTGTAAGCACTGCATGCTTCATACTCCTCCTCATCTCCTATGGCACACTGCTGGTAAAAGTGAGGATGGGCTCCAGTATAGGAAAAAACAAAGCCTATTCTACCTGCATCACCCATATCATTATCATCTTCATCATGTTTGGTCCAGCCATCTATATCTACTGCCATCCTTTCCAAGACTACCCTTTTGACAAGGTCGTGGCCTTTTTCCACACTATGATCTTCCCCTTGTTGAATCCCATGATCTACACCCTGAGGAACAAGGAGATCAAAGTTGCAATGTGGAGACTGTTCAAGAATATAAAATGTAGACACTGAATGAATGAATTTCAAGCTGAATGAAGGAATATGTGGTTCAATTTTGCATTGTTGGTATTAATTCTTGTTAATTACACTTGCCCTGGAGTAGATCAATTACGTAGGAAACTGTGAAATATTTGGCATATTAAGGGTAGA